GACCTTCCCCAAGAGTCACACATGTGCCTGAGAGTATCCTCCAAATGCTTCCTGAACTCTGTCAGGCTTGGTGCTGTGACCACTTCCCTGGGGAGCCTGTTCCAGTGCCCAGCCACCCTCTGGGGGAAGAACCTATTTCTAATATCCAACCTAAACCTTCCCTGACACGACTTCAGGCCATTCCCTTGGGTCCTGTCACTGGTCACCACAGAGGAGAGTTCAGTGTCTGCCCCTCCTTTTCCCTCTCACAAGGAAGTTGTAACTGCAATGAGGTGTCCCCTCAGTCTCCTCTTCTCCAGACCGAACGGACCAAGTGACCTCAGCTGCTTCTCACACAGCTCAAGGCCCTTCACCATCTTTGTTGCCCTCCTTTGGATGCTCTCCAATAGCTTAATATCTTTCTTATATTGTGGTACCCAAAACTGCCCCAATATTCAAGGTGAGGCCGCCCCAGTGCAGAGCAGAGCGGGACAATCCCCTCCCTCGACCGGCTGGTGATGCTTTGCCTGATGACCCCCAGGACACGGTTGGCCCTTCTGGCTGCCAGGGCGCTGTTGACTCACATTCAACTTGCCACCAACCAGGACCCCCACGGCACTGCTGTATGTTTTAAGAGCAAGGCTGTACTACTTTTAGGAGAGCTAGTTTGTCATGTCAACAATGTATGTTTCCAGCTGCTTTACCATTGACTTCTCTCAAGTCAAGATCAAACTTTTCTTAAATTTCAGCAGTCATTATACATAATTTGAATGTTGTTTGCATTTTATTTAAATAATTCAAAAAAATGATGGCTTACTTTTCAAAAACTAATACAATTTGAGGTAACAATTTAAAGAGTTTTTCTTACCATGCTTTTTATAGTAGTGTTAAAAACATTTTTCAGATAGATACTGAAAATTGGTTGCATTCTGCTATTGCTCAACAAATCTCTCTCTCTCGTTACCTTTCAGTTAGGAGGTAAAATTATATCTGCTGAGAAAATCATTCTGAGCTATCTTCTTGGTGAAAATCTGCAAATATTTCACAACATGTCAGGCTACGAAAGGACACATCTCTGAAAAGAAAGTAAGAACCAGGTGTCCTGGGAAGCAAGATGTCTTCACCACTGTGCACCAGCACTACTGTAGAGAGAGGGCATCAGCAAGGCACAAATGTGGCAGGACCAGACAAACAACAAACATTTGGGAATACTGTAATGTAAATTGGTAAAAAACTGAAACCTACAGAAATAAGAGCAGACAGGCAGGGAGTCTCACAGGTGCAGTAACATGAAGGGAAGCCTGTGAGCCTGCTGGAAAAGGAGGGGATGCTGCTGCCTGGCTCAGCATGCTTAGCAGTGGGTCAGAGTCAGGAAGAGGCAGTCAGGATTTTCAGGGATTTTTTTTTTTAACTAAGTTTCCTTTAGAACAAACATCACTGTTGAGAGAAAATAATTCTATCTGCTAATTTTTAGCACTAAGATGCCCTTTGTTCTGTGTTTAGGTCATGATATAATTCCTAAAAATGGTAAGCACAGGCTTATAGGCTCAGAGATGAAAAAAAAAAGAGAGATATTATCTGTACCTATAAAAGAGGTCTTGAAAACTGAGGCAAAGATACCTTTTAATAAGTCTTTTTTCATTTTAATGAGAACGTAATTGTACAGAAGATTTCAAGTAGCTAACACCTAGCAGGACTTCAGGAAAAAAAATGGGCCACACACTTGCACTACAGAGGCACTACTAACACAGGCACTAACTCACAATGCTGTGCTTTTCTGTTGTGGAACTCCTGTCATATCTGCACTTGGGCAGAGCAGAGCACATTACTGTTTTCTTCCTGGCAAACTGTGGCAGCTCTTGCTTCACACAGTTTCCTGAATGACTGCATTAATTTGATTGACTCCAGATCAATGGTGTCTCTAAACAAGATTAAATTACATGTTCCTTCTGTCTGTATGTTATAGGAGATTACTCTTAGCAGAATCTCAAAGGAAGCAATTAGCTGACCGCTGATGTAATGAATTCTAATTATTTTGTTTGTACAAACAATAAAGCCAGATCGTTTGTTTAGCAAGGAAGGGTAATTACTCTGAGCACTCAGGAAAATAAATCAAACAGTGCTACCTAGACCTGTAAATAATGAGGCTTTGACTTCCTATTTATGCTAAAAATGCTCATGGAATATTTTCAGGTAGCTGGGAGCCAACCTTTGAAAGTAACATTTATCATAGTTATTATTGAGCATTTGCTTGATTATGTTCCTGAGTGTGCTAGGTACCCTGCAGAAATATCCATCTACATTGCCCTGTCACTGGCACCTGCTAAAAACTCACTGCAGCCAGTGCAATTTCCTGCAAATGTTTTTTGTTAATCAACAAGAAGTTGCTCACATCGCAGTCATTAGCCTGTACTGCTCCTAAGGGCACCAGTGCCTGGGGGCATGTCCTCAGCAATGGATCAGGAAAGCACATTACCATACATGGAGCAGGCTCTATTCTGCCCAACATTTGGCCATGTAGGCTAGAAATGGAATAAAATTGGAAGGCAATTGAATGAGACTGGTTGCAGCTGGGTCTTCTGCTTCTCCAGACTGATCTGCTGCTGCTGCAAAATATTCACAGCTCAAACAGGAGAGATGAGCAGGGTCACTGGGGACCTCGTGTTGCAAAAAGCAGAGATCAGTCCAAAACCACCTGAAATTCTGACACTTCTACTGATTTTGTGTGGCTCAAAAGCATGAGGGAGCTGACATATTAGAGACAACCTGATCTTACTGCATGCAAACTCCTCGGATGTTGCAAGCACCGTGATGCAGCCCCCAACCACGTGCTATTCCTGCAGATAGTAACTCTGAGATCAGCTGCTCTCTCAGGGTAGTTGGTTTCCTTCACCACGGCTCTGAAAGGATATTCATCCATACAAAAATATTTTGCCTAAACTTGCTTTCATTTCTAGCAACGTTTTAGGTGTTAAATCTTAATTTAAAGTGAACTGCAAAGCCATGAATTCTGCAGTTGGCTTGCTTTTCCTCTTCTCTTAGCCCAAACAGTGATGCACCCAAAAGGAATGAACATTATTTTCTGGCTTTCCTAAATAGTGCTCAAAAACCCTATGGCAACACAGGCTCACATCCTGATAAAACCCTTAGCCTGAATGAAAAAGAAAAAAAAATAGACATCTCTGCTTAGAGCACTTGGATTCCCATTGTAGTCATACTATTTAAACACTGAATGAAATCTCTGAAGTCAGCAAAATCTCCCTGAAGTGAGCAGGGTCTAAGTTACCGCAACATCTGTACAGGTTGAAGGGAAGCTGCAAATCAGTTGTTGGTGAATGGGAGCCATTTCCCTCAAGCTTATGAGGTATTTCAGTTCTTCATTCCTTCTCACCCTGAGCTGTTTCTCTTTGTTTGTGTTCAGTAGCTATTAAAAACTTACAGAATGTGTTTTTTGTGCTCTTGCTGTAGGACCAATTGACAAACATTTGCTGCCTGACATTATGTTATTCCAGTATCCTTGAAAATTAACTGAAGACTTCAGTCTAATATGGACAATTTAAGGATGAATAAACATACCATGTACCCCCAGGTAGGTGAGGCAGATGAATTAAAAAATGGCATCTAACTGTAGTGGAGATGTGCTTACACCTAAAGCTTTTTGTTTGTTTTTCACTATAACCAACTTGACTCAACCAAATCACATGAAACCAGAGAATTCCTTGGTCAGTCTTCTGGAATATCCCTTTAGGCCTCTTCTAGGGAAAAGCAGCACTACTCAATGTTTGGCTGCTTCTACACCAAGTATTAAACTGTCATATTGTTTTTCCAGCTTGAAAAATTCTGGTGACCTTACTGAGTGAAACAATTAATGCTGAGCCAGACAGGCAAGAACAGAAACTCTTTGGGGGTTTTTGGGAAGGCTGAACTGAGGCCAAAACTATTCAGGAAACATGTGAAAATTACCTTAAAACTGGTCAGTATTTTGCTGGGGAAAAATACTGGAGATGCTACTCCACATTTGAGTATCAGAGGAATATCTCATCTGAATGAGAAAAATCTTGCCTTCTGGCCATCACTAGAAGAAGTGCACTGTCTTTCACTCTTTAAATATTGGTCTCCTCTGAAGAGATGTTGCAACAGGAGAAACTGAGGGTTTGATTTAGCTTAAAATGACTATGTGAGTATGTTCCTGTGACACATTATTCATTCAATCTACTTCATGTTGGGTAAATAAAGCCTTATTCTATTCCTTCTGAAAAGAAATGGAAAGTGAGATGACAGTACAAAGTAGAACCTAACAGTATCTGTAAACAAAGCAAATCATGACAGAGAGAAAAGACTCGGTTCAACACTAAGTTCAACTGAAAAACTTGCTGACTTTTTGAAAATGGGATCAGAAGTGCTGCTTGGTTTAATAAGAAACTGGCAGCATTTTGTTTTCTTTAAGTTTCTCCTTATCATCTCCTGTACTGCTTCTGTTTCTTATGTCATCACTTTGAAAAGAAAATCCTTCACAAGAGGAATTCTGCTGCTTAGAATAAGGATTTAGTCCAATAACATTAGACAAATCTCTTGCCTTTCTCTGGTTTTCTGCATTAGAAAGAAGGTGGGCTGAATGATCGAAAGCATTATTTTTCACAAGTGTCCAAAGAATTAGGAGTCCCATTTTGAAAATTATTTTAGGCACTTATCCCTTAAATGCTTCAGAGAGATATTCAGGTTCTTCCTTAGACTCTTTTGGAAAATGAATTAAGTTCATATAGCCTGTAGATATATAAGAATTGAGTTCCCCTCCTCTTCCAGGAGATGGATATTTAGCTTCTAGAGAAACAGTAAGCAAAGCTTAAGAGTAAAAACTCTGTAATATCTTTCCTCTTAAAATCTGGAGAAAATCAATAACTTCTTTAAGAGTGGCTCTTAATAAGCAAATTAATCTCAGGACTCTTTAGAAAACTTTAAAATAATTTTCTGCAAAATGTCTGATTGAACATTTTTTAGCCAGTGATAGGAAACTGTCATACCTTTCTGAATCTGTCTGGTTCTTCCCGAGATCCAGGAATCTGTTTAAAAGAAAAAAAAAAAAAAGAAAAGAAAAAAAAAGAAGCATAAACTTAAGATCCCAGTGGAGCCTATAAATGAGTATTCACCTCATAGGGGATGTTTCTTTCAAATTTGTGGTCACCTGGATAGAGTGAACCAGCAGGAGATTTTTTTTAATGAGCTTTTTAACACACCTTAGGCAGAAAGATGACACGTTTTTAGGTTCTTGACTATTTGAATCCGATGAGCGGCTCTCCCAGCAATTGCTTTGACTTTACTGACACCTATTGACCATATTTATGCTTACAGAAGGTTTTGGTTAACAAAGTGTAAGTCATTACAATCAACGGCAAACAATTCTCAGAAATATACTCTTTATTGATAGAGGTCATGCTTACCTTCCATGCACTTCAAAGGATTTGTGTTCTAAATAAGCTTTGGATTCGAAGACAAGGTTTCCCAAGGCAGAAATTTTTCAAATGCCTCAAATTTTAGGTGTTTGAGTTCAGATACCTTACAAAGCACTTGCATACAGAAAGTATGCAAACCTGTAAAATCTAATCCTCTGATTAGCTTGAAGTTGAGCACAAAATGTGAGTAGTTTAGCTAGAAAAGTGTTAATTAATAATTATATATGTTTATGCTAAGAACATGGGAATATCTTCAGCATGCCCTGGAATATCTTATATATGGGTATGAATTCTGCCATCCTTAGCATGTCTTATGTACAAGAACTTGGTAACTTCTTTAATAATTTGGTTCTTGCACTAATAAACTTCCTCTTTATTTCATTCCAAATCATTAGCCCATAAAGACAGTTTCAAAAAGGACTAGGTCCTTCTGTGCACAGTTACTTTGAGTCAGTGACTATTCTGATCACTCTGTCTCACAGCAGGAGACACAAACAACGAACAGCAAATATATTCTTACTGAAGGAACTGTCAAAACAAAAAATCAATAGAGAATGTTGTGTGGAGAAAGGGTAAAAAAATAGAAATTCATGTGCCTAGAACTAGGCATATATCCAGACTATTCCCACACACAAACATCTCTTAGTCCCAAACTTCATCCTTCTTTGACAACAGCCAGTTGTCATTCTGTTCTGAATCTTCAATTTTGAGAAATATTTTGAGCGTTGCTTAGAAAGGGAAAAAGATAGCACACAACTCCTTTAATTAATTAACATGTGTAACGTTGAATTAAGACTAGCAATGTGAAGCAACATAAAAGAGCAATGGCAGAGGTCACCAATGAATTGTAAGTTGTCACCTACCGGCAAACTCATGGACTCTTTCAGTTGAGATTTGTAGAGCATCCATCGGTAACGCAGGTCCTCCAGATCTTCAGAATTTCCAACGACAGAATGAAGATGAAGAAGATCCTCAAATTGACGCTGACCATCAGGCACACGAGATCGCAGCTCCTGCAGGCAAACAGAAGGTCAGCAGCAACTCAGAATTATATAGAAGGCCCCAATTTTTAAACTAGCATTCCAAAAACCAGTGGTATTAAATCAAACTACTGGGTACTCTGGAATAGCACATTTATTTTTGTTATTGCTTTTTTGGTCTGAAATGATACCAAAGGTTAATCTGCAGGACTCCTGCAACCTTGGATATTTCTGTTTGTTATATTTCTTACAGCTTTCATTGCCATTGCATCTGGCCATAGTCAGAGTGAGGCCAAATACCAGACACTGATTTTAATCAGCTTCTTTCAATGAACACCTTTACCATCCCACACTGGAAATGTCCAGCCCAACAGGGAGATGCCAGGTGTTCCCTTCCCTTCTACCACTCTGGCTCTGGCAGACCTTTCTTAGTAGAATGGATGAAATTTGTCTTAAATTTCTGAGCTTCATCTATTCTAGAGTCTTCTAAAGCAGAGAGTAGAGTGTTTGAATTTTTTGTCTGTTTGTTCTTTGGGGATTTTTTAGGGGTTTGGGGTAGGGGTGGGTTGTTGCTTAGTTGGTGAGGTGGTTTGGGGTTTTTTTGGTTGTTGTTGTTGTTGTTTGGGTTTGGTTGTTGGGTTTTTTTTAATTCTGAAAGAACTTTCACCTATTGCAATTTTTGTCTCCCTCTTCACTCCCTGAACACTAACCTCAAGTTTGCTCTCGTGTGCCTTAATTTCCTCTGTAGAAGATGGAGTCCCAGCAAGAATTTTGGTCAGTTCAGTGTTTTCTCCTCGTAGCCACTCTTCAAAGTCGTGTAGGAGCTTCAAGTGGCTGCCTGTGTTTTGCCTTTCTCCCATCTTCTCCTAGGTTACAGAACAACAGCAACAAAAAACCCTTTACTGTTATGTCAGATGTTTCCTCTGAAGGTCTGATTGCAAGATCTTAACCTCCAACTTTTTAACCCATAATATCAGATCAAGGCAATAAAATTGTTCTTGTGAAGCTGATATGAAGGCAGATACCCATCTCACCTGCTTATGGTCAGGATCTACATTTAAAAGCCGGAAGGCAGGTCTAGACATCCATCTGCTGTCCACAAGTGCTCTTTTCTTCTTATCAGCCACTGGTCTATCTAACTGCCACTTTTTAAGAAGACTTGAAAACACAAAACCAGAGACATCAGTGCAGTGGGACATCTAATGATAAGACATTCATATTTTGACTGGGGGCTATGGAGAACAGCTCTGGTGAAACAGCACTGTTATTATTATACTGCTATTACTATTACTAGCACTATTACTATTACAGTTATTCACAATATCCTTTTAGCAAAATAAGAGCAAGACAAGAGTGTCTCAAAGCAGCACCAGTACCCTGGTTCTAACATTTCCAAATGTTTTGTTTTCTTTTATTCAGGGGAATAAAAATATTACCTTGACAATATACCTTCCTTTCTATTAACAGGGGGCAGTACAATCAAGCCTTCCTCAACTTAGTAATTTCATTTTTATGCCTATTTTGACACTATATACAAATATAATCGTGCATGCAACGTGGTATTAAATTTTAATACAGACCAGCAAATATGAGCAGTAGTTTGACACTGCACAGTGGAGGCAAAATAAATTAAGTCTTCATTTCCCAGCTAAGAGAGGATTTTAGCTCTGCTTATACTTCTGCAAGTTTGCAAAAGGCACAAGTCCCATTGCAGATATACCCTCCTGGAAGGTATCTCCAGATAAGAAAGCAAGGAGAAGAGGAAGGTGAGACAGAACAGCAGAAATCACTCAGTCTATGCCCGGTTTCCTCCAACACGGACCGGCAATACAAGGGTAATCCAGGTCCTAAGAGGACACTGTCTACTCCAAGCATGAGGTAAAGGCAGATTCAAAGACTCTGGCTCATGGATTCTCTAAAATAGTTTTCTTGAAAGTAACGATTTTCAGTTTACAAAGTATTAAATAAAATCTCATCCTGCTTCTGGCATTGTAACATGGCTGTTCACTTTCACAGCACAAAGCATAAAGCATCAGTTGTGTCTGATCATATAGCAGTAAAGAGCATCCCATCAAAGAGAGATGAGGTAGATCTACATGAACACTTACCCAGTTGCCATCTCCTTAAGTGATTTCCATGACTCCTTCAGCTGATCCAGCTCTGCCTGGACATGGGCAGTTTCCTCTGGAGAAGAATTCTCCATGACCAGCTGGCCATGAGCTTCCACAAGGTGCAGCTGGATCTCCTTATCTGGAAACTCAGCTAGCCATCTCTGAAACGCACAGCCTTACAATTACTTCTAGGTATCCTGGGTAAAGCAGAGGCTATGTCAGACTGAAGGCCATGTTCAGTCCAGGACTATGCTGGTTCTGTTGGCACTAGCTAGAACATACCTAGCGGGAAAAAAAATATGCTGTGGATTCTTGCAAAGAGCCAATGCATGTCAAAGAGCTGATGGCAAAACTTCAAGGGTGCAAGTTGTCAACGCACCTCCTTCTGTCACCTTCCCATGAGATCTTCTGGTTTCCCATAGGAAGACAAAAGCTGCCAGCTGAAGTAACCTAGCAGAGTAACTCTAGCACGCAAAATACTGCTATTCAGGGAAAAGCTGGCAGCTTTGGAACAGCTCAGTTCAACAAAGTCTAAGGCTGGCTAAAATGGCAGTAATGTTCAATGTATCAATGACTACATACAGGCAAAGGCAGGTATTTTCCAGGAAGATCACCCTGACAGGTAGAGCTCTTTTTAAAACCACCTATTCTTTGATAATACTTTATCCATCTCAACAGTTTTAGCCATTTTTCATTGTTCTTGTCTTTTACCTAGCTCCATGCCCCACAACAGAGGGCAAAGCAGGAAGGCAGCAGCAACGAATAGTTATCACAGGAGGAACAAACCATCATTACTCTCCCAAACCAGAAAATCCTCACTAGAAACCCCCACTCTTAATATCTGAATGCTGCAAAGTGAATAATTAACATCTTAAACTAAGACATCTTTCTCACCTCAAGGTCTTCTACCTTGCCCTCGATGTTCTGCTCTCCATCAGCATCCTGGTAGGAATCAATCTTCTCCGTGGTTACTGTGATCCACTGCTGGAGGTCTGACAGTTTGTCATTATATGCCCAGTGCTTCTGAACGTGGTCCTCACTCTGCTGTATCATCATCTACAAATTATAAAAATATGTCAGCAACTAAAGACAGACAAAAAGAAGTGTCTTTACTGGGTCTAACACTATGATGGGCACAGAATCTCATGGGCAAAGAGGAAAAAAACAGCTGGTAACAAGCGACAAAAAACTGTCCTTTGGCACCAGTGGTGCTGAAAACACCTTTAGAGCTCCCGCAGGCCTGAATTCAACCACACGGGGGGGCATTAAGAACTACAATAGCTCCCTTCCTTCTCAGCTGAAACAGAATAAAGACTATATGCATGTTTGGATTTTTTGTACCCCAGTCAATATCAAATACATCTTACACTCCCTGAATCAGAAATGACTGTACAGACTTTTCTGGCAAAAGTCCAATTCAGTGATAAATGGGATTATTCAGATTGAAACTAGAATTCCACAGTGCATATTTGGGTAGCATTTTAAAATATGTAATTTTATAGTGAACTGCATAACTAAGGTAACTTAATAAGCTCTTCTTCTGAGACTGCTTCGGAAGGTCAGTTTATAGCTATGTTTACAAGCTACCGATTTCCTCAGCACAAAAGAAGTATTTATGCAATTGCAGCACTTTTCTCTCATCAACTTTTAGATCGTGAAGCTATAAAAAAATCAAACACTTTGGTACAAAACCCCTATCCAGGAATCTGTGAAGTACAAGCACCACCATGATAATATAACTATGAGGTCTTTTGGTCAGAAGTCTCAGGCCTGCTCCAGAAATAATTTATATAGACATAAAATCTGTGATAAAATCTGTGTGGATGGTATCCTATCCCAAATAGGCAAATCACATGACAGATAATCAGAGAATCCTGGAAGAATTATTGAAGTCATAGGAATTCAGTGCCTTCTTCCCCTGCAATGAAAGTATCTGTCAGTCAAAGCATTTAATGTCATATGCTCAAAGATTTTAAAAATATTTTTAAATAGTGGCAACTGACAACTCCTCAGGCAACTAAGAACTCTTCTTTATGTTACCTCCAGTGATCTTTTCAGGGCCTGAGAGTCAGACGAAAGTTGGTTCATTTCATGCCTGTGTGTGGTATTTGACTGAACAAGCTTCTCTACCTCTTCCATTTGAATGGCAAGTTCTGCCAAGTCATCTTGGATCATCTGCAAAGGAAAAGACAGATTTGATATGGGTAGTGTGCTAGGTATGGCATGGACCTCCACAAAACATACACTAAAGGTAGCTCTATTTGGCAGTGTGAGGACAAAAAACCCCAGCAGCAAGCACTAAGAAATCACAAAGAAAATTAGTTGTTTTGATGTCTAGGAGTAACTGTTTCTGAAAAAAAATGGTTGGACGCCTTACATGTTACTAGGAGATAACAAAGAAGGTAAGTTGCTGAGAAGCTGCCAAAGGATACACAGTATAACCAGCTAAGTACTACAAAGAGCCGTGGTGATAACACCCCTGTGTTCACCAAGAACGAAGAGGCACGATATTGCTGGATCACCACAACTCACCATGGCAGAGTCACATCCCCTCTCTCTTTCCCTCCTGCTCTTCTCTGCTCTCTCCCAGGCATGTAATTCCACTGCATGCCTTGAACAGGCTCTGCATTTTGGACCCTGAACCAGTTCAAAACATGGCCAAAACCAAAAGGAAAATTTTGATTTTTTTTTTCTTTTTTTTTGATTATTGTTTTTCTTATCTTGGCCAGATGAATCAGTCCATGGAGTAAATCCAGCATCTGTCAAAGCTGTGACAAGGTAAAGAGTGGAAAGGGGGTTGATGCAAAAGGAGGTGGAACAATGGGAACTCTTTTGGAGGAAGTTAGATTGGTTCAGGTTATCTTGTGCAGTTTCACTCCAAGGGGGAAGTATCAGAATACATTTTCTTTAGCAATAAAACTAGCCCAAGAAGGTGTGCTACTAACAACTTCCAGCTGCTTGTTCCTTCCCTCAAGTTCAGTTTGCCAGTGCTTCATTTACCTTGCTTTAATTTCATTTACTCCATGATATAAACTGGACCAAATGAAATTATCTAACTCACAATCAATTGAAGCGACAGGTACTGAATTCCTAATGCTAATAAAATATGACAATAAAAACAAACAAGACCACAATTAGTTGAGGATCACACAGACGAGCAATACTGTAATGTACCTGGAGTCTCTGGAGCTGTGTCTTTTTACCCAAGAGGTCAGGTCGTGGTTCCTTCTCTAGATCTAATTTGGCTTTGATGGCAGATAATTTCTTCTGCAAGAGTGCAAAACCAGCATCAAAGTTCTTGTGTTGCAATATCAAATTCTAGATGGAGAAAGAAGAAAAAAGATCCAGCATTCAACATATATCCCTTGGCATTGTCTTTTGTCAATGTCTACCTCATGTTCAGAATAAACACCAAGCTGCACTACACAACAGACCACAAATTTCTTTGAATATTTGATCAACCTAGAAAAAGGGATTGGGCTGGCTAGTACTAAATTTATATCTGTAAAACTGGCTTAGTAAAGAATTGACCATTGTCACAGGCAAAGACAGTATATGGGTTTTGTAGTTCACCTGGAGTTTGTTCTTGCTTTGCAGCAGACTTTTGTGTAGAATTTCTCTCTCCTTTGAAGCTTCAGCTACTTCTTGAAGGAAAGACTCTGCTTTTTCCTCACCAAGGACATTGTTTAGCAAATCCTTCTTCAGCTGTAATGTCATGAACTTCTCTTTGAACTGGGAGCTTTCAGCTAGAGCAGCCTAAAGGAGAAAAATCCTTCCAGTGAAATCTTACAAAACAAATAAAAACCGTATAATCATATTATTCTCACACAAGTCACACAACCAAAGCAGTATGACAAAGTCAAGTAAAAACAGCATGCTGGGCCAACAAGGGGTAACAGAAGGTACCTGGACAGTGCCCAGTTAAAGGAAAAGTCTTCCTGATAATGTTAGAGGCACCAGGGCTGCATCCATTTTGTGAACAGAAATAGAGGAAAGCTGTACTATGGAAAGAGTTGTCTGTGCAGAGGAGAGGCCTAAACAACCAACAGAAAGGACAGCTTGAATGCTCATCCTGAGGATAAATTCCATCCCTGTTCCCAGACACATTTAGTCTGAAGATCACAGGGATGACAAAATAACAAACACACCTTGCTGGGCACATGCAGAAATCGTGCATTATAATCCCATGACTATATCACTACGCAATTCTTAACAGAGTCTACAGACTTCCCACCTGGGGAGATTTGGCCTAATGCTAAACAATATTATCATCATTGTCAAAGATATCTAAAACTTTAATGCAGCCTACTCAGCTGACAACTCCAGATAAACAAATGGAGGGCAGAAAGTAAGACAATGTGCTACAGCCAGAACTAAGTAAAGACCTCCATCTGTACTGTGGGTTTTCCTGCCATACTGGAAAGACCCTTCCAGCTGCAGCTGACTGGCAGCTCTATGCAGGCTTGGTCAAACACAAACCCAGTATCATTTCTGAACTTAGTAACAGGTTTGCTACCTCAATGTGAGCCAGTGCTGGCTCTGGAGTCTCCAGGAGCATCTGGACCGATGGCTTCCACTGTTCAAAATTTTGCAGGGGATTTTGGAAGAGTCTTCTCAGGTGGGTTTCTGTATCAGTGCTCATTTTAGAAGTCTTGCCTTTTACACTGCAAAGATAAAGTGACAACCAAGGAAAGGATTATGAAGAAATCCAAGTCCAAACATCCTATTCACCAAGGCACAAATTAACACAATACTCATGTGTAAACCATATCCAACACAAAAGCCTCAGTCTTTTTTACTGAGTCTAGTGTTGCACACCAACAGCTGCTCTGTCAGTCAAAGACATCTGACAAAACTTTATTTAGATGCTGTAAGACACATTTGTCTCTTGTGCAACTGTGTATCAGGAATTACTTTGCCTTTCTAGTAGCCAGCAGTCTACCCTTGTTTAGGATCTTTCTTGGCTGCTATCACCAGGGTGATGTAACAAATCACATTATCAGGGCAGTCTAAGTTACTGAGGGAAGAAACAACCTAAGAGTGTCTAGAATGTAACTGCAGTTGCCTGTATTGTTTCACATACTATAGAGTCTTTTTTTCCTTTAAAAAAATTATATTAAGAAGTCTTTGATCACCCTATGTTACCCACAAAAATGTGGAAAATACATTTTTATTTCAGAAACATTTTTTAAATTTTGCAGAACCACTTGAACTATCCACCTATTAATACGTATAGGTGATTCTGATTAAAGCTTTGTATTTATGAATATGTACCCAAACACATGCACAGCTATATTAAGTGTATATATATATTGAAAAAAATTAAAATCAGCAAGCATTCAATAAATATCCAGGCTTCTCTTATAAAGGCTTATCCAAAACACAGCTGAGTAACAAGGCCCAGCAATGACACACCCCATGCAGCTGCCTCCTGTTTTTCTCAGCTTTCCTGACCTCTCAGTCTGCAGAATCCTGTCTGATATGGCAAAACACAGCCCAAAATCTATATTCATACAGGAACAGTACCCTGCAAATTCACAAGACAGGCAGGTGAGAGCAGTGTCAATCAGAATCAATATTACCTTTCTATAAAAACAGAAACAACAATCCTACCTGTGTCACTGGGACATGACGGAGCTAAACAAAGGCAAGACTGCAGAGGCCAAAAGCTACGCAAATAGAAAGTCCCGACTTTACACGTCCTCTGCCATTTGCTCTGCTGCCCCTGCCAGGCTCAGTGTGAAGCTGCCAGACTTCCCAAAGAAGCTTTGGAGAGAAGCTGGCAAAAGAGCAGCTGCCATTTTCTACGAAGAGACAAGTTCCCTGCCTTCTCTGCTCCTCTTTGGTAGTTTTTAAACTGAAATCGTTTCCCATAATGACCTATAACCCTTTCAGCAGGACAGCATACTGTGCACTGGACAGAGGAAAATAAGCTTGGATACAGGAAAAGAACTAACCTTTTTTTTCCCCTTAAAAAAAAAGATCCTTTCTTCTAGTTTGCAAACTTGCTGCAGCTTCTTTACTTCCTGATTCCAGGCAGCCTGGAAACGGAAACACTGAAGTCTGGGGAGAGGCTAAACTTTCAGAGTTTCCAACCCAAGGCAAGTTGAAAACAAGAACGTGCACATAGGCTGCCAGGAGAAGGAGAATAAACTCTGCCAAATAATTCCTAAGGCTGATGAGTCACCACAACAAACTCAACTAGGGAGGGCCATAATTCTTCTGAACCGTTTACTACCACATCTCCTGTCCTGATTTTCTAGTTGCTGTCATGAAAGACAAGCAAAATACATGAATTATTATTCTAAAATGCTAATAAGATCAAATTAGCTGCCAACAATCTAATTTCCTTCAAACCATACACAACTTCAATGATGCAAGATCACTGCTTGAAAATGACCAGCAGCCTACAGCTCCCAGCAAATGGCTGAAATTACAGCTTTACTGAAACATGGAGGCGGATGTAATTAACAAAAGCTTTTCATTTCTACCCATCATGTAAAACTGGATGGCATATCACTTTTTTCTTAGGCCCCTGTCAATCCCTTCAGTGTCTGAGAGAAGACTCCCCCCCCCCCCCCGCCATAATCAGACTTCCCAGTACCTTTGATACTGCTGTATTGCAGAGACAACACTCTCAGCGTGTGGCTGCACATCTTGGGAAAACCGTAGCAGTTCCTTAAGCTGAGCCTTCAGCCTCTCAACCTTCGACTCTTCTGCAGCCAGAGCTGCTCTTGTAGCCTTAGTCATAAAAACAATGAACAAATTACACCTAAAGTAGTGTCTGACACATGAAATGAAGAAGTAAGGCTGTCTCTCAGGGTATGCACAAGTCCCCTTTCAGTGGGTTTTTTCCTAGTTGTAAGGAATGTGTGGACTTCGCTAAGACAGAAAACATTATCAGCAACAGTTTTGTTCCAGCAGGGTCTCTCCTCTCCTCACACTGTCCAGCCACTGCATCTGATCTCCAGGGTTCACTGTTCAAACAGAGTGAATCACAAACAGGCCCAGTTTCAGTTTGCTGATTGTAGTACATAACATGAGATGCATTTTTGGAGCAGTCTTAGCAGCGTCTGTTCGCATCAATAGATCCTTCTCAAAGACTCACATATGCAGAATGTTAATTCTAGGGTGACTCAGGGAAACAAAACAACTAAAACTCATGCAAACGTAGCCGGATTGAACCAGTCTAAATTTTGTGGATTCTTTTTGCATATACTTTTCCCAGCTAGTCCTGCTGAGTTCTAGACATACAAACAGCAATGAAAGGCATTTTCAGAACAGATAATAAATGCAAAACCAGCTCTCGAGAAGAAATGAGTGGTAAAGATTCTTATCTACTTTGTGTGTGATGAATTTTTTTGCACTCATTTTTTGCGACATTGATTTTGGTGTAAATACTGGATTGTTTCAATCTTGGGACTTCTTAGTCATGATGATGTGTCTGCCAGTAAAGGAATACAGATACCCATCTTATACAGATGAAGGATATAATGTAGAAATGGTCTTATCAAATACCTCAGAAATGTGTTTATTCATGTCTGTGTATGTTTGTATGTATTTATATATACAGTGAGGCATTAATTTCCTTCTTTTTAAGTGGAGCAAATTGTGTTGTTTGCTCTGTATTGTGTTCTTTTTGCATATGGTCCCTTTGAACTCTAGACACAAACTCCAACACGTCCTTCCACCCTCCTCCCTCTGTGCAGCCTGAGATGAAGGCTGGGGCAGTTGATTCCACTGTTGCTAGTCACATTTTCCTCAGTCTGTTTCATGCACACTCATACTCCTTCCTTATCACTTTTAACGAATGGGACAGGCACCTGTTGGATATGACTATAAATGTTCAGTCTATGGCTGCACTTGATCCTCCATACAAAAGGTAACAACTTACATTGCATTTTCTCCACAGAGTTACAAGCTCATCTTCAGTCTTTTCCCCTTCCCCAGGGTTCAGGTCATTTTCTAGTCTCTGTAGATCTTTTCTCAGCTCCTGGATGTCTGCTTCTAATTGTCTGGCTTGGTACTTATAGGCACTTTCTGACTGTTGGATCTTGAGCAATCTCTCCTCCTCCTCACTACTTAGCAGTTTCAACTTCTCCAAGGCTTTCCTTAGCTTTTCAAGTTCATCCTTCAATCTCACAGCTCCAAGTGGAGAGGTATTCTCAATCACTTCTGCACACTGATTTTCAAGGTGCTTCCATTTCTTTCCACCACTCCTAATGTTTTTTGCAATTTCCTGCAAAAATAAGTTAAATAAAGATTATCTGCAGGAATGGGAAGTTGGGGAAAAAGCTGAAAGCAGTAAGAAAAAAAGACCACCTCTCCTGGCTATATGTATTTTGTTCTTCACTTCTTATTTCAAAATATATCTTTTTGCAAGTGACCAGAAGCCAAGATTGATAATTTGAGTAATTTCTGAGTAATACTAACTGCCATGATTCTGAAAATATCGTCTTGATTTTCATAAATGCTTGTCACCTGAGGTCCCTAACAAAGAAAACGGGAGCTGCAGACACTAGAGAATATTAATAGTTAGATCTCAGAGATTTTTAAGCTAAACAGTTGAAACAGTGGCACTAAAAAAATGGATATTCTCAAAACTGATATTTTCATCACCAGCTCTAAACTCTCAAAGTCTATGAACCTTTAGGGTCTATTTGGATCATGTTTACCAAATACCATTTATTTAAACAAGTTTAAAGGACAATATTTTCAAAGAATCATGTAACCGTAGGAGATCAGGCTTTAAGAAAAACAAAACAGACCAGTTTGTGACTCATGCTACAGTCGGGAGAACCATACGTACTACGAGTTTTAGGACCTGATACAACTCTTCTGCCCGAGTTTTAGGACCTGATACAACTCTTCTGCCCTAGCCCATGTTAAAATCACCATCTTATCTAGTTTGTGTAATTCTTTTCTCAAGTATACCCTTGTGTGGTTTGAGCAACACATACAGGCATGAAAAACACAGTCCTAACTCCTTTTTAGAGTTATATTGTTCAAGGACCTTCAGTGCCTTTAACTTGTCCTCTGCTGAAGACTTGGTTGCTTCTCCAATGCAGCAGTTTAATCTTTCTGTCACACCATTCAGCCACGATTGAAATTGGTTGACATTGGCACTGTACTGTTCATGTTCCTTGGTTATCGTTTCAAGCAGTTTCACTCGGTTCTGTAACAAGAGACGTCAGAAGTGGTGAGGACAGCGCTTATCTGGCTCTTTTTCATTTACTTTGTAACCCAGAACTTATAAACAAAGAGTCCCTTTCCCTGAGCCCCCATAACACTTGGCCTCCACAGGAATTCAAAATTCCTCTTGAGAAACAGACTACAAAAATACATACAGGTTTGTCCCTATTTGTATTGTGCTGCAGGTTCTCAATGTCTAGTCTCTGAGAAGACACTGCAAGGTCCTCTCAGGTGAATTTTTGGCCTCCTACCCAAAACATCTTATTCTCTCATTAGAAAAGAAAAGACATAGAAGTTTGTTTCTGGTTTTTACTTTGAGACACAAGCAGTTATATACCCCTTGCTGGTTAAAAATAGAGATGGGCACACAACAAATTGACTTTCCTTATCTTTCAAAATGAAAATAAGAGAGATTGCATTAGGGGCATGCAAATTGTTTTAAAGTGTTCATTATTTAAACAGGCTGCACAGAAAACGACCATCATCTTCAGTTGTGTAGTCCAGGCACATTCACACTTACTCAGCAGGTCACAAACTACTCTGTGGTGGCAAAGACGCTGGAAGCAAATTCAAGCCTATGGAAAGCAGGCTTCATTTTCCAAGTTACTGTGTGTGCACCCTATAACCGACAATCCCTGAATTTACAGGGGCCTACACGTCACAAATTGCTCCCTGCTGATGCAGTCTGGCACTCCTCACAACAAGACAGAGTCACGTTTGCTCAGACTAGACTTGCTTGCTAGCTGAAGTTCAAGCCTTTTTGATTTTGACATAAATCACAAGGAATCCGGCTCTGCCATTTCATTAGTATAATATTCAACTTAAATATTATTTTCTGGAAAATCAGACTGATTTTTTCTTGCCCTTCACCAGCTGGCATAGAGAGCAGCTGAGCTACACTATGGGTACATTAGAAAAAAAAAACCTTTCCTTGCATAATCCATTAGTGCCTGCAGCACCCTTGAAAGGCTTTGCTACCACAGACAATGGGACGAGTTTCATTTTGTGTAATATAGGACACATCACCTGCCTCTGAGCAGAGCTTCCTCACAGTTGCCCACAGAGAGGAGTAGGGTGACAGCTGCAATTGTGGGCAGAGCTGCTAAGTCCCCTCTGCATTTCCCTTGTGTCTGTGATGCTCGGGACATGTCCCCACACCTGTCAACCTGCCTGAGGTGGCAGTGAGCCACTCTGTCAGCCTATTCTCCAGCCAGGCCAACAGGAGAATGGCATAAGAATCAGTCACCATAGGATCTCCCATGTGCTGGGGGTTGTGGTCACTCTGGGACTTTGCTGTTCACCTTTGCGACAGGTTAAGCCCATGGTTAAGCCCAGGTTAAGTACAAAGCCACCACTCTACATGTGGCACAACACTGGTGTGTTTTCTACACTGCCACTGCAGTCTCTGGTGACTTGTGCAAATGATGAGTGACTCCCCTAAAGTTAGTTGACTCGCTGTGGCACAAAAGAGTGATAGCTAAGGGACAACTGCTTCCCACAGAGGATGACATGCTGCACCACCCATCATGGGTTTGGATGAGACCAAAAGGCAGAATTATGGCTGCAGTTTTCTGTGACCAAGATGTATCCAGCAGAACACCTAAATTGTTAAATCCCCTTGCCCTGATTCTGACATCTGCAGAGGTTAAACAATTCACTCCTGGACCTCAAGTTAGGACTTAAGAAGGCAACCTTGTAGCAGCATAAATGGGCCACACACCCATGTGAACCAAGTCAGGGCAAGCTTATTGATTCCAGGCAATTAGGCTAATTTGTTGCACTGAGAGGAGCTCGAAAGGGTGTAAATCAGAATAACAAAGTGGAGATATTAAGCTCAAAAATCTTATGCTAATATATAGGCGGGTTAAAAGGAAGTCGAAGTGACCCACCCTTGGCCAAGGCTGTTCAGCCAAAACAAAGGAGTGCACAATTTGGGTGTGCTGCTGGTCTATCAGGTCAAGGAATAGGTGCCATGGATCTGGACAGACTGTGCAAGTTGTCAGACAAAAGGCTTACAAAGAGCTGGCTGAGTTGGCCCCCCAAGAGGTTAGGCAGGAAAACTTTCCAGTGATGGAAAATATGGTATCACTTGCTCCTATTAGGTTAACTGTTCAGGGAGCAGGACAGTGTGAAACTCAACGTCCACATGCATTTGGTTAATGTGAGGAGACATTATGAAGGACATGGCCCTGGAAAGAGTGAGAGCACTGACAGGAAAAGAATGGGTTTGCCATGGGCTGCAGAGAAAGAAATGTGTCCGAGCAGCATATACCCAGCCTGGGCACTCAAGGAAGGTGGATAAAGGCCTAGGAAAACCTCTACCCTAAGATCCCCTTACAGTCAGCAAAAGCAAGTGAGTCTCCTCTGGAAGGCAATCTAGACCACATAAGGAAGTTCCTGCTTTAAACCTGCTGTGGTTTCTCAAGTAGAGTACAGAAAGCTCCTGTAGCCCTTCCTGGTGCTTTTAGTCTTAGCTCTAGGGTGCCTAAGCAAACCCATTATAACTATCTAGGTTTCAGTTAACAGAGACAACATGGACTGAAATTAATTTGCTGTGCTCAGAAATTTTATATATATTTCCCTAAATATCAGCATACTGTATATCAACTTTTCTTACCTTCTTCAGACACTATTTACACTAAAACACACAATCATCTACCTCTGCATATGGTAAATTACTGGGCAAGGGAAAGCACATAGGAAACGGCTTCCACATCTAAAAATATTCCTGTCAATGCAATTAAAAGAAAATTATGTGCTTTTAAAATTTGGGAATGTTAAGAACACATGTTAGCACTAAGAAAATAAAAAAAAAAAAAAACAAACCAAAAAGCCACCATTTGCTCATACCAGAGAAGCAATATCACAGGCAAACCATTTAAGAAACACTGACCAAGAGCCTGCCTTCTGATAGAGCTGGACAACTGCACAGGATCTAAAAATGCTCTTCAAACACAAGTGTCATATACAAACACCAGAGAGCCTCCTCTGGGAGGCAGCTCAGGCATTCAGCTGGCATCTGCAAGGCACATTTAGCCTCGCCTCTCATCATGAGAGGGGCGGGAGCAATCTCCTTACAACTCTGTGTCTCTTTCATTCACTCTTCCCGCCTGTTGGAAGAGGTGTCAGGGTTTCTCTAACTAGTGTTATACTTTCCAACACAATTCCCAAGGTACCTGTATCCTTGGCATTAGATAATGAACTCTGCATTTACTTTGGTTGCAAAATCCAAGGCTTCCCACTCCCTTTTGTGATCCATATCTCCTGAAAGAGGGATTTCTTAACTGGATTCTCTCACTCCATCCTTCTATGAAATGTGCTATTTATAACCACTGCCAAAGAAAAGCTTTTTCTGGTGTCTCAGTTGACTGGAAACATAAAGACATATTTTGTCTAACTACTATGAGCTACTTCCTGATCTCATTTACACCAGCATGTATCCAAGTCAGTTAGAGAAATCACACTATGTAAAACCAGTCTCAGACAGGTCAAATTCTGGCTTTGAGTATTCAAATTACTGGATTGAAAGAACAGCCTTATTAAAATAACTAATGACTGTCTCCCGCTTCAAAACCAAAGACAAATCTTAGTTAGGAGGGAGTGATGAGAATTTTAAATGGCAATCTAGATTGACAACACCTAAATTCCCACAAACCTTCTTATTTGTAAAACCAGTTGCCTTGTAATCAAGATTGACCTTCAAAAATAAATAATCAACGTAGAGGCTCAAATCTGTTGGTGGCTTCTCTGTGGAAGCTGCAGTTACAGAACTTCAAAATATACTCTAGATTTTGGAGAGACATTAGCAGTAGTTGTATATTTATGGCTAAAAAATACCTGAATTTCATGCTCAAAAAAGGTGCCAGCTCAGAATTTTTTTGTTGCTTAGAGGTTTGGGGTATTTTTCATTAAAAGTATTCATAGAGCAAGCAGGGAAATGGCATGAGCATCCCAGTGTTGTTCTTCTAGTGTGATCTGAAGTTAACTTTGCATGACAGCACCCAGGGAGGGAAAGCATACATCGCTGTCAGGCTCCAGTTCTAGACTCAGGTGTAGATGTAGGAATAAATAGAAGGCAGAATTATAACAGAGGCAGATAGCAGAACCAATGTAATGAAAATTATTTGTATTTGCAACAGACTATGAAACTCCTGGAAGCCACTGTGAGACAAAAAACAGGTTTTAATTTCTGTGTTTGGGATAGATGTGTCTATACATATATTTAAAATATACCTTTGAGCCTTTCTATTGATTTGTTAGTAAGAAGCTGAATTCTTCTACCCACCCACAGATGTCTGCCCCTCAGCCATACCACATGGTCTAGTCCTGTCTTTATCTGAGTTTTAAAAGTGAAAAGCATGAGCTTTTTCTGAAATCTTCACTCAGGAATAAGGTCAAAGGAAATCACTGGTACTGAAAAATGAAGTAGGATGTCTTACACTAGCCTATCTAACGACTGTTGAAACTGGAAGATTAGCATCAGGCAAGAACTAGTATCTGTGTGCATGAAAATCCTTCACATACTGGAAATGGTGAGCTGAGCAAAGTGTTGGGCCACAGCTGACTCTCACTTCCACGTTTCCCAGTTCTGCAGGCAGGGAGTGCAGCTCTGGATCTGGGCTAATGTTACTTCCTCCAACAAGGGTGCATGGTTGTAATATTCCCTGGTTCCAGGAATGGGTACTTTGCATCTGATTATACAAGAATCACTAATGTGCTGAAAGATGAGGAACAATTCAAACTTTATATAGAGATGGTCTAAAGCAATATTCACTAGGACACAGCAAGCAGTTTGCAGTTACTTTTCAACAACATACTATATAGCACTGTGTAAGAGCATCCTAATTATCAGCTCATCTTGGAACTTGACAACTGTTGCAAATAGCCCACTGACTGAAGGAACAGGGGTCCTCAGCTTTGTTTCCTTTTGCAGTCCTACCAAACACCATCACTCAAGGAGCAGATAGCAAACAATACTGTATGGTGAAACGTATGAATACTGGTGCGATTTGAGCACCTCCCACTCCTTATAAGTGTACCTGAGCTTCTTGTCTGATTCCTTCATATTCCACTCGCATTTTCTTCTGAGCATCCTCATCAACACTGGGGTCACCTATCCTGCTGAACAAGGAAGCAGCTTCCTCCAGCAGCCTTTCCAGCAGGACTGACTGATTTAAGACATCATTCAGCAGAACCTGAGCATGGCTCAGCTGCCACTGCTTCTCCTTCAAGCCAAGCTGCAACTCAATGTCAGGCTCCAAGGTCACCCTCATGTTGTGAATCCATGAGTAAAACTCATCTTGGGCTTTCAGGTACTCACTCCAGTGCAGCCAGACCCACTCAATACGGCTGTTGGGAGAGCAGGAGAGATGCGTTAGACGAAATGAAGATGGGAGCAGTGGAGACCAACAAGCTCAAAAGGCCTTCAAACAACAGACAAGGTTCTCAGCAATTTTAAGCTGCTCTGATTTCACAGGGTCCAGATTCACTTCTCAGGCCTTCCCTCCTTTGGGGAGGAAATATTTTGTGCAAGGTCCCTGTGCCTGACCAAACTCATCATGCCAGACAATGAGGTGGCTGGGCCAGGCTGTGAAGGCAGAGCCCTGAGGTCCCACTGACCCTCTCTCCCCACACAGTCCCCAAAATGTTCATGGGACTGGGATTATTAGCAGGGATTTCTATCTACAATCCAGGCAGCAGAGAGAGGCAGGAAGTGTTTTAAGAAAGCACAGGGTAAGACAACTGCCTCAGCACACCAAAGAGTACGTTTGTCTTACCTGTGACAATGAGTAATGTATATGGCTGTCTCTTCCCACAAGGCTTTAATGTTTTTCAGTTTAGATAGTACCTCGTGCTTCTTATCCTCACTGATGTTGCGAAGAGCAGCATCAGCCTTCACAAGAATCAAGTCCATTTTCAAGCTGCCTTCTGGTTCCAGTGCACGTATTTTCTATGAGAAAAACAAATGATAACAAAGTATGAAAAGAAAGCAAGTGTAATTGATGAAATGTAAACTTTAGTTTTACCCAGGAATCATGAACTCATTGAATCATTAGGTTGGAAAAGACCCTTAAGATCATTAAGTCCAATCGTTAACCTAACACTATGGTGGGATGGAAATGTTTCCATACAACACTGACAATTAATCCTTCTCACCTCACTCCCTGCTGCAAAGCTTCTCCTGAAGGAAAAATATGAACTTTTCTTCAGACTTGTTTATTCTTAAACATTCTAAAGAACTGAATTTAAAGCCACACAGCAGTTGAAAAACATTTAAGTTAGCTAGAAAAAACAGATAATCTGTGGCTGTGTTTCCACTGCTGTTATAAATTATAGCAATATGTTCACATGCCAGCTGTTCTCCCCCACCTGCCAAAGCACGTAGAGCCAATCTCCACAGGGTACACTGCAACGGCTCAATTTTAAGGTCTACTATAAGAAATCATAAAGCATATTAAAAAGGCTTCCTAGTGCAAATAAAAGTTGGCTTAGAAAACAAGCCAGGAGAAATTAACTAGTGGAATTTTGTGCCTGCTACCAAGTTTTGCTTTGACCCTTAATTGCTAAGTTACAGACTGGTGAAAATGTGCATCTTGCACAAATAGAAATGCCAGGAACTGAAAGTTGAGTCATCTAATTTTAAGTAAACTCTCTTCCTCTATCCAGAAGTGGAAAAACAGAACAAGTTCTGTACAATATTACAGATTAATTATGCTCCAATTTGGATGTCAGCTTTCAACATCACTTTATCAAACTTCCGATACCATCAGATTAGCTTTTCTTGCTGTTCTTCCATAAACTCCCGGCAAACTGCAGGCTTTTGAGTTTGAAGAAAAAGGCTTCTATAATAAAAACACCGAGAGGTTCAGAATCAGCAATTACTTCTGGAAAAATTAGACCTAAGGGATTTGTTAAAAAAATAACATGTCAGTTATTGCAAAGGTGAGACCAAATAAAAGACCTTCAGATTTCCAGTCTCACATTCTGGGAAAAGACTGTTCTTTTGGCATGTACACAGCACACCTGTGTGTGATGTACAAACAGGTGTTTGGACAAATTATCTACTATGAAAAGTGTGATTAATAGAATCCAGGAAAGAATGGCAAAGGGTAAGTCAAAGAAAGAAAATACAAGCCATAGCCATCATCCAGCAGGAAAAATTTAAGAGTAAAGCTGTTTTCTGAGCCTGACATTTTTCAAGCAACAGAAAGCAAACAACAGCCAGAGAGAAAGCAGTGGTTGTACAGTCATTTTTCTTTTTCAAATCTGTTTTTTACGTGATTGCTATCATTGGCTGGCATTTTCATTAACAAATTAACGGAAAATAAACCACAGGAAGGAAGTATGAAAAAAACTGACAAGCCAGACGCAAAAAAGGAATTGAAAATTGATCACTGGATTTGAAAACAGCCAATAGTGAAGCAGCAAGCACATCACGAGGACACACGAGCTGGAGAGGGAAGCCAAGCTCAGGAAGGAGGCAAAACGAGGGAGAAGGAGGTGGTTAAAGTAAACACAGGAAGAGAGAACAGACACTTGTTAATCTTTAGAATGATGAATTTCCCAAGTCTGAATTGAAAAAATCTCCTAACATGACTTTTTGCGTGTTATAGAGCTCCTCTAAAGCCCACAGAAGTCAACGGGCTTTGGTCCCAGCCAAATCAAATCACCACAAATCTCTAGACCTTACTTCTTATCTCTGCCATGAATGCACCCCCTTTTCCAAACTACCACTCTTCTACTCAAGTTCCTGTGTTTCTTGCCTGTTTTTTGAGACTACACATTATAGATTCCCAGACAAAAGGAAAGGGTAAAAACAACCTAAGGGCAGAAAAATAAAACTATAGACCAAGAGGAAATGCTTCAGATATTCATGACTGACATGCAAGACTAGCTACCATCTACCTCTCCAAGAACAGTCTCCATATTATGCCAGAGGCAAGATCCATCCTCCAGTAAACCACAGTTAAGTAAAAAGGCTGAAGGCATCACTGTACCATCATGTAAAGTACCTTGTCCTCCATGTATGCCTGCAATTTCTTTTGAATTGTTAAACTTTAGAAGAGGCAGGCCAAATATGAGTAGACACACACAAAAAAAGGCTTTTGGGTAAATAACAACAGGAAAGATTTTGCCGTTTAAAGAACAGACTAGTTGGAATTAAAGGTAATAAAGGTATAAAAATAGTTTCAGTGTTAATCACAGAAATATCACCACTCCCTTTAATCATGAATAGTAGAGATGGGACAAACAGGAGTGTTTCCTTCTCTGAGATTACAAGACCTAGATAACATCTAATGAAACTGAAGTTAATGAATGTGAAATCACAGTAAGAGAGCAGGCACAATCTGCAACAGGATCTCTGCGAGAAGAGTTACGCAAGAGATTAAGTAAAACCAGGAAAAAATGAAAACATTTATCTTTTCATTAGAGAGAAGACAAAGGGGACCAGTAAACCATTTTATTATCAGGGTTTATGGAAAAGAACAAAGGGATTACTCTAGAACAGCCATTACCAGGACACTACAATATTTCCCTCTCAGTCCCGGAGTCCTGGAGGAGACGGAACACCAACGTGCTCTGATTCTCTTATATGATATGCTGGTATTCTGCAAATTACTATGGTAATTGCAAGCAGTAACGAAACTGTTGCAGGTTTGAGCATGCTCACTGTAAACATTTTAACCTGCCAAACCCACTGCTAGTCTTGGAAGCCTATGATATCAAATTGCAATCCTCTTTTTCTACGTCTGTAAACATTTTGCAGATGGAAAAAATTAGAAAGAATACTGATGTGAAACCATCCATGCAGGACCAAAAAGGAGGGGTAGCTGACAATTTCTTAATGTACAACTCCAGAGCTCACAGTAATAACTGGTCTAACAATGCCACCTCTGAATGGCTACATCACTCTCCCCTTACCTCAGTTTCTCTCAGTCTGGCTTCTAGGGCAGATCGAGGTCCTTTGGTGTTGTCATTGATCCTCAGTCTCTCTTGGATGGCCTTCATCCAAGCTTCTGCATTCTCCACGCTACTGTCAAATTCATCCTGTAGCTGCTGAGTCATCGCATTTGAAGAAGCTGAAAGGATAAGAACAGGGAGGTAAGTAGGTTTTGGTTAAGAGCTAAACAGGAATGCAAGGCAATCTAAAGGAGCAAGGGAGAAAAGCTAATGATGTTGTGGCTTTCCTTTTTAACAATAATGCCAAAAATTGCAGCAGTATTGCTGTTCAGTTGAGCACAGAGAACACATTCACACTGCAGCTTTCCCAAATGAAAATATACCAGGAAACAAAAAGAAGGTGGGGAACTGTGGGAGGCTCCATCACAGTAAACAGATTTAATTCAAAGCTTTCAAATGAGATTAATTTAGTGTTTGTGGTGTATTCCAGACTGGCTACACCAATCACAAACACTTTCTGTTTCTTCACAGAGCCTAGTTAGTATAAAATTCTCCCTCTGCCTTTCCTGACTCAGGTACTGAGGACCTGACACCAGACTAATAAAGCACTTCAGCACATGCTTAACTGAGAGGTGTATAAACCCTTTAAGGCTGTTGGGATCAGAATCAGGTACTTAGGCCCTCAGTTAACTTCTTCTGCTGCGACCAAGCAGAGGTTACCTGAATGCACATGCAGTGAGTGGGGTACACAGACAATGAGAATTGGCCAGCAATTGCCAAGCAATTGCGAAGACAAACCATTCACAAGCCATCGCAGGGGAATATCAACGCTGGTGGATGTCTTCTTTTGCCATCTCTTTTGCTCCATATCAAGGCTGCAAGCTTTTAATTTTCCCCTCCCTCTCTCAGTGAGAAGGTATGATGGTTGGTTGCTCTGTTGATGTCTCTGTTTAGAGCACAAGCCCAGACGGCCTCCTTTGTGCCTGAATAATAGAGCAGAGCCATCCTAGGCTCACCCCTAAGCACTGCCAGACTAAACTTGACTAATAAGGATGAACCAAAACAAAGCTCCCTGTAGGTCAGCTCTGCTGAAGTGAACAGAAAGATAGTCACTGACATTCAATGGGTTTGGATCACATCCTACAACTAGTGCCAGACAAGCAGTCAGTGTAAAATAAAATATTCTTCCCCTTTGTTATTTGTCACTGAAAGATTTTAGCAGCACAAATTTTGAGACTTAATTACTGAACCCAAGGTCGTTGCACCGAATTCAGTTCCACAGCAGCCCTTCAGTTTCCATGAAATGATTCATGTGGAAGAAAGTGTTCAGTGAGAGACTCAGAGCACAGCTCTTGGTGAAGCTGGACCAGTGGTGTTTTGTAACCCCTGTAGGTCTCAGAAGCTTAGTCTTTATAAGGGAGAGCCATCCTTCTGTTCAGAAGCAGAAAGTTTCCCACCATCCTGCTGATGTTCCTTTTCATGAGGTAAAAGTATTCATGCACTGTTAGATGTCATCCCCTGCAGCACCCAGTGCATTTTCTTCCACATCAGACCAGAGGAAACAAGATGTCACTATTCACAACAGTCTGAATTGTTGCTTCCCAGCCTTCAGCAGGCTTTATACCCATCAGGTTCCAGAAGAGAGTGAAAGAACTGCACCTACAGCTACTGCACTACCCACAGGGACAATTGGAACAGAGGATGGTGTCAGACCTCCATGCACAGACCAGCGGAGCTGCATTTGCATGGAAGAGGCAATTCCTCCCTAAGTGGGAGGACAGAGCAGAATCTAAGGCTGTAACTCTCAGAACTTGAGGGCAATTTTAAAAAGTGTGACCTCACCTTGAAAAGATTTAATAAATAGAACAGGATGTACTGGCTTTAGTGAGGATGGTGTGGTATGGGGCATTTACTCCCTCTCTCAAATATAAAAAACAAGACAGGATATATAATTAAAGCTAAAATCATTGACTTACATCACAAGAGTCCTAAGGATGAAGCCAGCTAATGGAGTAATGTTATTCTCAGTGGATTGCCAGATAGCTGTGTCCTTCTCCAACTATGACTGGTCCAGAACTGACATTTCTGAATTACAATAATCCAACTCTCAGAAGAGAGCACACATCTCGTTGTAGCTGACAGATCAACTCATTTTCACATTAACTTTTCACATTATATCTGGCAGTTGTAGAGGGACTGTCCCCTAAAATTTTCCTTGTTACATACATACATTTTCTAGGCAAACAGTTTCTGAATGCGCAAGTATAAGCTGTGGTGATTCCAGTTATGCTCTTATGAAACAAAAAGTCAAAGTACACTAGCTGGATAGACACTGATGAGGAGTGGCATTCATTTCCCACGAGAGGTTTCTATTCCTGGCAACATCCATATCATATATTTCAAATTTGCTTCAGGACTCTAGTCATGGAGTAGCCAATACAGAACATTATGTTGTCCTGGTCCTATTTCTTAAAAAAAAGCAGAGGGTTAAGAAGCGGTGGAAAACCTACTATCATCTAACAGGAAGAAAACCCCATTCATACTCTGCCCTCACGCTACTCTCCTTTGAGCATAGGGAATTTCTGTCCAAAACCCACAGTTACAAAGATCCCCATCCCACACACAGTCATTCCACATAAGGAGTTACACAGGAAGCCACTAAAAATATTATTTCAATGTTAAGATCCCCAGCTTGCAAAGGAAGAGAAACACTTTGTTACTCCAACTGCCTGCATAACATCGACTGACTTTGACCAAGTAATTCCTACATCTATTACCATAAAGATGATTAAACTCAGTATGTAGCACAACTCAGTGCCCAGCCAGATTTCATGGTAGCTATGACCTGCTATACCTCACATGAATTTGGGCTACCCCTTGAGACCTACTGTCCTCCCTCCACACAGGGCAGCCAGACACTATCAGCTCCAGCATCAATCTTTTGTTCTGGAACGCTTCCCAGGCACTAACGGTATGCTTGATACCTGCAAGGTAAAATTTTGTTTTCTGACTTATTGTCTGCCTGGGAAGAAGAACAGCTGTTGACTGTGAAATATGGCAATATCTGTAATTTCTTTGCAAATGCTTCTAAAGCTGAGATAAATGATTAGTCAATAGAAGTTAATGAATCAACAGTATTCACCCCATTTCTGTTGCATCATTGACTGAGCAATACTTCTGGACTCTGATCAGCACAAAAAGGACAAAGAAGACAGAGCAGATCCTGGAACAGACCTGAGCTGTTCAGCTGTGCAAAGCCAGTATTAACACACCAATCTGCAACAGCAGCAGACCATTAGGGCCCCCTGTCCCAGGCTCAGTCTCTGGGACCCACAGTGCCAGGGAAAGCCTCCCCTCAATCACTGGTGTGATCCTCTGAGCAATTTGTACAAAATTGTTTTTGTCACAGTTATTGTCAAATGCATGTAGCTGCTCAAAACAGCTTTTCATTTTAATGCCACTTGAATCAGTGTATTAATTCATACTGTGGAAGGCGCATTTACAGTGCAGAAAACACTTAGTATCTCTATAGATATGTTACTAAATGAGGTTAATAACTATGCATAAGAAATTCTGACATAGATAATGGGATGCTGAGCAAAACTGAGTTTTATTTCTCCTAATGCAGTCACACAGTTATTTGGTAGGAGGAACGAAGAAGAATATTTCAGGGTGCTGAAGAAAACTGACCAAGGACAGCTCCTGCAGCATGTCCAGAGGCTATAAAAAGCACATTTCAGGAACAGGAGAATATAAGACACAGATTAGCTCCAGAAGCCTTTAGCTGAATCTCTCCCATAACACTAGTGTTCCTACCTTTTCTGAATCATCATCCCTAAAACACCACTTGGCAGTGTCTGGGTAGGCACACACGTTTCAGTGCCATGGAGGGATGATGCCTTAGCCCTAGGCCAGTTGCTCTGCCAAACTGACTGCACACCCATGGTAAAACCAGGGCTTGTACTGTTTTGTCTGTGGCTTGGTTACACCCATGGGATATCTGTACCTTTGGAAGAGGGTAAGATGAAACCTGGGACAACACACACTTGTCTCCTCCTCTCTTGTCCAGGCACAAAACCATTTAGCAAAGAGGGAAGTCAGAGAACTGCAGCCTTCCACCTTTTCCCAAAATCCTGGAGGAGAAGAGGCATGTGCATGTGCACATGGGAGGCACATGCACTCTACCCTCAGCTTCCCCACAGGCTGAATACTCCAACATGAATGAATGCGATTCAAAGCAACAGCAAGCTGGGGTTTGCTTTTAAAATGTGCCCCATTTGTGTTGGGCTGGGCTGAAAAGATGTGGAGGCAGCCTTGTTTCAGCTGTGGTCTTGGAGCCATCTGCTAAAAGAGTACATAAATTATTTGGCTGACTGCTCTGCATTATAGTTCTTGAACCCACTGCATGGGAGCAGCACCACTGAGAGATGCGGACATGCCTGGGTTTCCATGGCAGACCCTAACACAGAGGCAGGCAGAGGTCATCCTTCACATGACCCACACAGCACTCACAGGGCCAAATTTCTCTCCGTTCTTCCCTAAGTACAGCCACTGCAGCAGTCTTGCTAGTGCATCTAATAACTCTGCTGGCATATTGCAAGATTTACTCATTTAATAATTGTAATACATGACTGAGAGCTTTTAAAGTTCTTTTTTAAGTGCAGTGTCTTTTTAATAGGATTTTCCTATTATTTTGTAACATTTCCTAACATACCATTTTTTTTCTACCAGGTCATGCCATTTTGTTTTATTTTTTCAAATTTAAATCTCTTAAACATTTCTTACAACCACTCCCATTTTACACATTCTTGAAACCCTACATTTTCAGAACACAGGCTTTTAAATGGTTTCAATATGTCTTGGATTCCTATACTTGACTAGCTTCCAGAATCCAGTTCTTACAAAAATAAAAGTACAAAAATGCTCCAGGAAATTCAAACCGCTCATCATTAGGGACACTATTTTCCAATTATTGAAATAGTTCAAACTTTTCATAACTCTTTTCATTTGGTTCTGGGACTGGATGTGAAAAAGAAAAAGATTTAAAAAACACTGAAGTGTATCAAATTTTAGACAAATGCATGAGTGTGCAAGCAATTCTGGCTCTGGAAATTGTATCTGGGTTAATTTAGTAACTTTTCAGCTTCCCTAGATACTGTAAAGGTTGCTCTGAGAAGAC